CATGACATTAGACAAGTTATTTACCTCTCTTAGATCCTATTATCATATCTATAAAATCTAGATAATGTCTACCTCCCGGAATGGGTGAGGAGTTAGAGTTAGAGGTCTCAGTCAGCTCTGGCTGCTATAACAAAATATTGTAGACTAGGTGGTTTAAATAACAGAAATGTATTTCTCACATTTCTGGAGGCTAGGATGTCCAAATCAGGTGCCAGCCAATTTGGTTCCTGGTGAGGGGGCTCCTCCTGGTTTGCAAACATGTCTTCTTACTATATCCTGCTATGGTGCAGAGAGGGAGGGAGAGAGAAAGACAGATCATCTTTCTCATGTCTCTTCTTATAAGGGCACTAATCCCGTTCATGAAGCTCCACCCTCATGACACAATCACCTCCTAAAGGCCCCCCTCCAAATACCATCACATTGGGTATTAGTCTTTAACATATGAATATCAGGGTGAAACAAACATCCCATTCATAGCAAGATTTTATGTAAAAGTGTCTAACCATACAAAACAACACTTCATCATTATATGTAAATACAGGAATGACCACGGCCTAGCTTTGCCTGCCCTGAAGGAAATTACAGTCTTGTTAAAAAGATTTTTTCCTTGAAGAAAACATGGGAACTTTGATATCTTAAGTTGAACATGATTACATGAGAAAAATTCATAGCTAATAAAGTTTTCTTTGAAAAACAAATTCTTTAGGGCTTAGAAAGCAAATTATATGCCTAGGGTGTCCTAGTTTATCTCAGCTCCCAAATATATAAAGGAGTGCTTAATTTATTTTTTAAATAATTGCATATTGCTGATCTTTCTAAAAGAGCCGATTACAGATAAAGTAAAATATACCCCACTGAGGTACAGTCCAGAATTCTGAAAAGTATTCTCTTCTTGCAGCCAAGCTACACAGCGTAAAAGCATCATAATTATAAAGTTTTATCAGAATTCAGTCAAAGGAAAAGAGTATTTAGATGATTTCAGGAAGTACCTCAGCTAAGGTAATTTGAAGACCTATATTACTATAGGAAAGAGTTTGTCAAAAGGACTAGAATACTTAGTCCATTGGACAAGACTTCCATCTCCGTGGTGATTGCAAGATACACATTAGACAAGTTCTATATCTGTTAGTTGTTTTGAATTCCTATGCCATGCTCCATGTCACAGTCTTAACATGTTAACACAGCCCAGCTTGCCTAGAACAACACAGTGCTTGAGTAATTGAAGGAAGCTTCTCAGAGGTGCATATACAAAGTGTTATATAGTATTATATAATTGGTGCTTTCAGGACTCCACAACTCTCCACATTCTGTATTGATTATTAGCTTAACTTTCAGAGAACATTCTGAATTCCCTTATTTACAGTTTCTTGAGAAATACCTTACCATAGTCTTCAAGTACTAACAACACTGTTAAGATGTCATTCAAAGAAATTTTATATTGTACTCTTTAATTAGAATGTCCTGTTAGAGATAGAGGATAAGACAGGTTGCAAAATTATATTCTTTTTTTAAATTAAAAAATAAAGACTAAGAAATACAATGAAGTTCCAAGTTTTTTTAAAAAAAGACACCAACATATAAATATAATTGAATTGGAGTTGTTTTAAATTGAGAATTTTTAAACAGATTTTTAGAGAAAAATATTTTAAAATGTTAAAAGTATGTGTGCCAGGTTATTTAGTCTATAGACCAGGAAATGATTAAATGCATCACTAAGGCAAAAAGGAAGTTAAAAATGGCGTCCCAACCAAGTCATACTTAATTACAAAGTTAATGGACAATGTCCTGAGTAAAATTAAACCCTGACAACATCTTTTCAGGAGCATTCAAAGTTAGTATTGCATAAAACATCAAAATATTTTATTTTTTCTCATGGGGATTATAAACATAGAATGCTAAACCATTTAGACTACTTGAAAATTCTTTTCTCTGTATTTATTTATGAAACATATTTTGGAGTTTGAAAAAGATACAAAAATGCTATAAAATACCTTTTCTAAAATACCCCTGATTGTCAAAATTATGTCCAAATGAACATAAAACAATGACAGATGCATGTAGGGCATTCACATATTAAATATTTAAAAATCATGCAACTAATCACAATTGAACCACTCTAGGAACAAGGTAGTATCACTTTAGGATGCAACAGAGATGTTATGAAACAATTTTGACATTTTTGGTGCTGTGTGATGTACATTAATAGTCATGATCTGAGGAATTATCTGTCATTGAACTTACGGATAGAGCTCTCCTTATGGTTCTTTAAAGCTACTCTTTCCATCAGAAGAAAAATCCAAAAAAAAATTGATACTTAGATCTTATTCATTATACTCATGAAACAATATCTCAAATCAGCAGGCAAATTACATATCTTCAGAAAGAGGAAAGAACCACAGTTTTTGAAGTGATACTTTTGAACACTTCAGTAGAGCTAGCTGGGAAAGAAAGGTTAAGCATTTTGAGTTTGATTCTTCACACAGCCAGGAAATCTGGGCTGCCTGATGATTCTGTTAGGATCTTTTACACCTTCCAATTTCAGTTTCTTTTTTACAATCTAGCTACACTTGACATTGACATCAAGCCAAAACACTTCAACAGACATATTTTTTTTAATATCCTAATGTCTCTAATAATAAATTGATATTGAATTTGATCATTCAGAGCAATGAGTAATAACTAATAGCTAGATCAAAGATATTATTAATCAATACCCTTTCCTTTAAACACATTGTTTTTGGGGTTCAAAATATTTATGTGCTGAGGAGGAACTCCAGTGCTGATTTCTTTTGTTACAAGATTGTCCATTATTTCAGTTTTTTATTTTGTCTGTTTCATAGGCCTTTTACAAAAACCTTGTAGAAGGAAATACTATTATTATATATACATTTTATCTTTTAGAGGATAATGTTAGAAGAAAAAGTAAATGCTATTTTCTATTTCTTTTTATTGGTTAGATATTCAGGTTCCTAACTTTAAAAAAAACCCTGGATTTATTGAAATTGAATATTTTTCTCTTTAAATGAATAGTTTTTATCTAGTAAATTATTTAAAATTTAGCTTGCTATTTATAGCTCTTTTGATCACACTTTGTGTGTGGTATTCATTTTTAAACATCTGGCAATAGCAAAATTGATAAAATTTATATTACCAATATATGAATATATATCAATATAGACAAATTATATGAGATTGGATTTAAAACATGCAGGTAAAAAGTAACACAGGACATCAGTTTTTCTTTTAATTTCATATGTTATTAAGAAAACAATTTTTAACTTTCGGATTTATTTTGCCCTTGTATACTTAGTTTATTCACTAAATCAAGTTTACGTGATCAAAGCAAATAAGATTTGTTTGGGGCATTTAAAAAAATCATGTTACTGGTTGTATTGATAGCTTCCATTTGTAAATGAGACTTCAAGCTGATTTGCTTCTGCAACACTTGCATGTAATATGTACTTCGCCCGTATTTCCAACTGTTTGCAGGACGTTTCCTTTTTGGGTATCTTGTTGACACATGAAGCACAATTTATTCAAAACAAAGATAATGTCTTCCTCCAAAGAACTCTGTTACCTATATTCCACATGTCAATTGGTGGTAGATTATCCTTCTGTGAACCAAGTAAGAACTCCAGGAGTTCTTTTTTTGTAAGATCCTCAGCTTTTAAAAACACCTGACTTACATCCTGCACCCAGATATACTGTTAAATTGTTATTTCCTGACCAGTGAAATTCTAGTCAGCTGCGGAACCTAAACCCAAATGCAGTAAAATCCTTCCCCAGTTTTAAAAGTAGAATTAATCATTTCTCTGTTATCTATATAGCTGTACTGGAGAACTTATATTGTGCATGGTACAATATTTTGTTGTTTATTAGCTGTTTCATGTGCTGTTTCTGCTTACAGACCACTTCAAAACTTAGTGATATAAAACAACAGCTGATTTTACTTTGCTCATGATTTAGAAAATCAGGAGTTCAGGAGGGATCAACTGAGCAGTTTTTCACTTGGATACCTCATGTGATTACAATCAGATGTCGGCTTGGGCTGCAGACATCTAAAGTAACTGACTTCTGGATGTCCAAGATGGCTCACTTAGATGGCTGGCAGTTGATGCTAGCTGTTGGCTGGGAGCTCAGCTGTGGCTGCTGACTGGATTGCCTGTATTTGGTCTTGCCAACCTGGCGGTGTCAGTTGGAGTACTTATATGGCAGCTGGCTTCCCCCAGAGCTAGAGAAGCAGATAGAAGCTACATGGTTTTTCCTGATTTAGCCTAGGAAGTCACGCAGCAACACTTCTACTGTATTCTTTTGGTTACAAGTGACTCACACACCCAAACTGACAGACTGTCCAGCCCATGCCTCCCCATTCTCTCTTCTGTCGTAAAATGTCTTTTCAGCTTCATTTCTTTTGGTCTAATTCCTTTCCAGCTTTCAAGCTCTTCTTCAGTACCACCTGCCAAAGCCTTTCCTGATTCCATCATTGAGCTACCAGAGCCAATATATTTGTGTTTGAGTTCAGAGAGACATTAGTTCAAATCCCAGATTTCCCGTTTAAGGGCTACATGACCTTGGGAAAGTTATTTAATCCCTTTATGTGAAAAGTAGCAATAATAACAAGACCTACCAACCTTATAGGGTTATTGTGAACGTTGAATGACTAAACAGTAGAGAACATTGCCTGTGACACATAGTAAGTAGACAGTGTTAGCTATAACTCTTTATCATACCTTCTTTTTCCAAAGCCCGTGGTGTTTTATTTGTACATTCTTGTATCTACCATAGTCTGCCCCTTGTAATAATTTCAGGGCTTATTTTTATCTTCTGTATATTTAGTTCAATATGTTACAAGCAATTTATCCCAGTAGACACCTGTATCTTGAATACCAAAGCAGAGCCCCTCTGGTTCTTTAACCCTCAGTAAACATAACACATAAAGAACTTGCCATTTTTTCTTCATTATTCCTTGTAACCTTTCCTCCCTATGATTCTTCTTGCAGAAATTAGAAAAGAAAAATCCGGAAAGACGTCTTCAGTTCTGAAGGATAAAGGTAATAGAGTCAAGTTAACATAACACAAGAAATTTATTAGCAAAAATATCTGAATGTGTCCACAGTACATTAGTCAACTTCTTTGCAGGTTTGTGGGTCAGAATTGCACAGGACACCCTCATATATTTGAAAACTTTTATTTATTTACCTGTCTGTTAAATACTTCCCTTCAGTTCACTGTGACTTAAAGTGCTCTGATTACAATTTCTGAAAGAAAAAAACAGAAAAATGATTTTTTAAAAAGAATGGAAGGGATAAAAAAAGATTAGAAGGAAAATAAAGAGTATAAGAAGGGTTTGCTTCCACGCCTTCTGGTTCTCTCCTTTCTGTCCTTCATTAACTATATATTTAGTGCATAATCTTTCCAAACACTTGCTAAACATTGGCAAAACAAAGATGGCAAAGCTAGGAATAGAGAGGAAGACTTGGAAATTGGAGTTCTGAATTCTGCTGTCTTCAAAGACTCCTAGTCATGCTCTGTCTGCTTTCGTCTTACCAGGTTCCTTATTGCTATGAAAGAGCATGACATTCTTATTTAAGTACCATTCAAATCCCAGGCCTCTTTCTAAGAGTAATGTCCACATAAAGCATCAAGCCATCTCTATCGACTTCCTAATCAAGTCTGGGGAATCAGAGAAGGCTTTCCTGAAGAGTTATATTAAATTCAAGTATGATGCATGAAGAGTTAGCCAGACAAAGGTGTGAGGATTGTTTGGGAGAAGCACAGAAGCAGGGCATCTGCTCTTTGCCAGACACATTGCAATCCACTTTATATATTTTGTTTCTGCAAGTTGTGCTTGATATCACCATTTCAGTAAAGGAGGAAGCTGAGGTACATGTAATTTAAATTACTCAGTGTCACACTATGGGTAAGAGGCAAAGGCAAGAATCAAAGTCAAGTCTGTTGGATTTTAACACCCATTTATTTCATTTTAACACAGATACTGCTTGCTCCTTAAAATAGGGCCCTTGTATATTTTTTTTATTTTTTATTTTTTTGCGGTACGCGGGCCTCTCACTGTTATGGCCTCTCCCGTTGCGGAGCACAGGCTCCGCATGCGCAGGCTCAGCGGCCGTGGCTCATGGGCCCAGCCGCTCCGCGGCATGTGGGATCCTCCCAGACCGGGGCACGAACCCATGTCCCCTGCATCGGCAGGCGGACTCCCAACCACTGCGCCACCAGGGAAGCCCTGTATTTGTATTCTTCAAAGCACCTTTGCTTTGAGTGCAGAGCTCATTACGTAAGTTAGAAAATCTATAGACACACTGGATATGCAATGTGGAAAATAGTCTTAGTCCTTTTACTATTGGGGTGACTTTCCTTAATTCCCACAGAGGAGCTCGGTCCCTTTTTTCACCAGTGATTACTTGTTCTTTGAGAAAGACTCCTTCTCACCTCCATTCTCATTTTATCTGACAATTAACAAAAACATTGTCCTTGTTTGTGTGAGAACTAAAGGTATTATTGAAACACACTACCAGGAAAATGCATATATACATGCAAAATCTAAACCTTCCCTCCTTCCAATGCAGTATGAAATATACTTATTTTGGTGAGCACTTATTTCACAGGAATACTTGAACCATATATTATTGTCCACTATGAAAACAACTCAACAGAAATTTGGGTCTTACCTCTAAAATGACCTTTCAGGCAATGATGATTATCAAAAATTTAAACTACTACTTAAAGACTTCACTTGTGCTGAAGCCTAAACTAATTGGAAATGGTACTTGTAAACATCTGTCCCAGAAAACATTATCTGGGAGAATTTATTTATTTTTTGGCACATGGGCTCAGTAGTTGTGGCTCGCGGGCTCTAGAGCACAGGCTCCGTAGTTGTGGAGCACAGGCTTAGTTGCTCTGTGGCATGTGGGAACTTCCCAGACCAGGGATCAAACCCGTGTCCCCTGTACTGGCAGGCAGATTCTTAACCACTGCACCATCAGGGAAGTCCCTATCTGGGAGAATTTATATCCACACTGACCACTTTACTGAGTAGGCTCCTGTAATTTCTATTATTGTTGTTGTTGTTGTTATTAATGTACAATTGCAGACAATTTCCTAGGGAACACTTTTTCCTCAACGTTAAATTCTCTACTATTTGCAAGATGTCTCCACAGTCACTAGAAAATCATGTATATAAAGGTCTACTACATATCATTATTGATTTGGAACTATTTAAAATGAACCTCTTTTTTTATTCAAGCTGTGTTAATGCCCTCAAATATCTTTGTTATATACAAGTTGGGTACAATTTTAGAAGAATTATATTGTCACTTCTCCTTTATTTTCTGAATATAATTTTCATTATATACAAAAATCAAAGAAAAAATTGTAGTATTACCTATAAAATTTCAGTGACTTTAACCTCTGCAGTGGTTATTATTATTGTTATTATTATTATTGTTATTATTGTTTCTGGAGAGGATTATTGAAGCTTGCTGCTGAACTGTGGCAGAATCAGAATGCAGCAATTCCACTTGCTACATAGCTTCTTATTTCACTGGAGCAACTTAAAGATTGCCTACCTTTGCTGGTCTCTTATAGACTCCACCTGCATGTATATATTAGAACCCATACTGAAGCAATGCTACATTTCGAAAATCAGAATTATTACACGGAAATCCTTTGGGGCTATATTTACTGGGGATGTGATAACCATGAGTAAATTAGACATTTAAAGAAACATCATTAGGCTTGTGTCTTTATTTAAGGAGGTATAGAGAGGGCTAGGGATGATTATTCCAAAGTCAAAGAGCAAGAGAAAGACACATCTTGTTGCCTTTTGCTGCTGATTGAGCTACTGACTTTCCTGGGCTAGTGGACTCATGTAAGCCCTCTGTACACACTCAAGAGGGCAGAGCCCTGACCATCCAGAAACCAGACAACCCTATTAGTTAGCCCTATTATTGGTTATATTCCTTCTGGCATCCACCACTGTCCTCTCGCTACTTGCTTCTTATTAGTCTGACTTATCTGAGGTTGCAAGAGTCACCCATGGTCCAAGAAACTGCAAACCAAATCATAACCAGGCAACAAGGAGGTTAACTAATTACCTTCTATTGAGAATGCAATAGTAGCACCCTTAGGTTCCTCTGGCATCGGCGTAATATGATGGACATTAGAATTATTGACTAGCTTTGTGACTCAGGCTTGCATATGTTTGGATCTAGTGCCAGAGAATTCAGAGCAGAGCTTATCTTCTTTCATATTCTGATGCTTAGGACCATGCACCTGATGATTCCCCCAGCTTCTCTTTGTCTTCACCATACTTTTTCTTGGCCGTTCCCACTCATCAAACAAAAGCTAGAGCTAAGAATAGGGTAAGTTGGCTGATGACTTTGAAACTGATCCCCAATGATTTATTCATCACGAACACTCACCCTAGTTCATTATTGCCTTTGTGTCTGGGAGTGGTGTAAAACCTGAAATGATCTGCCTATTTCTTTGTAAACATTTTCTCCATTACAACCTCCTACCAGATTATTTTGAGAGTTCCAAGAAATATCCCAGCACCTTTAAACATATTCTAGATCCTGATAATCAAGATTCATAAGCCTCCCTGTAGGCTGTTGGTCAAATGCAAAGAAACTACCATATTTGTAAAAACAACACACACGAAAAATGTGCTCTCCAATGCTTTGCTCCTGACAAGATAGATGCATTGAAAAATGCCTTAATAGCTGACCTAAATCAACGATGTTTCAATCCTTACTAATACAGAAGTGCAGAATTCCCATATAACACTGTCTCCACATTTTTGGTCATATTTCGTATCCCTGGGTAGTTAGGGACACTCAGACCAGTCTGTGGACTTCTTAAATCAGGTCAAAACCCCTTGAAGTCAAAAGGACACTGAGAAGAAATGAGATGCAGGAAAGTTGGTGCAGGAGATGACCCATCCTGGGAGCAAAGGTATCTTCCTATTAGCAAACTAGGAAATAAAAATTATTTCTATTTTCTGAGGACTTTCTTCAAATTTAAGGTGCTGGGTTTACGACCTTCATATACCCTATAAAAGTATATCTGTTTTTCCACCCCTTCCTTCTTTTTCCACCCAAATCAAAGCAGTCTACAGGCCCTCTCTTTAGGTCTTGTTCTTTATAACTACTTTAATCTCACACAGTCATGTACAGACACCCATTTAAATCAACACGCTGTATCTTGAAATGTGAAGTTCCAGGTGTTGTGCTCTCCCACCCCACCAGGAATCTGTCCCCACCACCACTTCTCATTTCACGATACATTAATTCTTTTGGTTTAGCCAATGCAAAGCAGTAAATTACCCCTGTCAGCCTGAAAAAAAAAAGTTAATGAAGCTTCTCCGTGTGTCTATTCAATTCATAGTTCTTGATTTCATCTTCACATGCTGAAATACACAGAAAAAATTGATCTTATTTATTCTTAACACAATAAATAGCAACAGGGACACTCCTTTGCCACCAAAGCCTCTTTTAAAAAGTCTACAAGCCTATGGATATTTAAGGCTCTAGTTTATCTATCAAGAAAATCTTGCTCTGAGGGACACAGCATTTTCAGTGGAACACCAGAATACATTCTTGACACAATCCAAATCCACCCGAACTCAGTGGATTCTAAGCGATTGCTTGGAGTGGCATGTCCATTCACAAGCACCACCACCGTATTTTTTGCCTTCCACCCCAAACCTCAGATGAGAAAAGAAAACAGGGCTGGAAGGATAGATTTCTTTCTTTGCTTCCTTTCTCACTGCATTATTAATTATTTTTGTCAGTAAAATAGATACTGAGATTTTATGTTGCAGAAAAGGCAGAAAACTGATTTTAGCTTTTATTTTTAATAGGTTAAAAATATATTTTATATTTCATCATATATTTTATCAAATTTATCATAAATATGATAAATTTATCATATTTATCATGTCTTCCAGACCCATGATATGATTAGAATCATTTTGTCTTTGAACCTGGTAGGATAAATGAGGTTTTACTTGATTTGCTTTAACTAAGGACCACATGTTTAAGACATTGGGAGTTCACAGATGAAACTGTCTCAAAATTTATTTTAAATCTTATTCTTGAAATTTGTTTGACTTGAGTCTGATGACTAAAACACCACATTTACATGATATATGCAGAGTTTTCCATTTGATTGTTTATTTTTTTGAAAAAACATAGCCTGAAAGAAATAAACTAAGTTAGTGCTGATTATAACAGTTTTGGAAGACTTCTAGATGCTGAAGTCATGTGTTTTTTAAAATTACAGATAAAGCAAGTTCCTATTCATCCAAATACACGTCCCCTTAAATGAACAAATAGATTGTACCTCATTCAACAATTTACATTTATTTTAAATAGAAGTGATTAGAGAACAGCTCGTTGTACTCTATACTGTTGTTTCTTTGTCTATGATTAAAATTATTTTTGAAAGAAAACATCATATCATTTCCATCCAGGTTCACCTTACCGCTAGCTCATTGACTCCATTGTATGTGTCTTCTTACATCTTTTGATACTGGTTTCAAATAAATGTTCAATGTTTCTTTCCAGAGCCTATTAAGGGAAAAGAAGTGAAGGTTCCAGCTTCCCTAAAGGAAAAAGGTATTACTCTATAATGAAATGTGAAAACACATTGATCTGCCTATTGCATATTCAGTTATTTGAAATAAAGTAGTATATCATTATTTTTCATATTCTCAAAACTCTAATTTTTATATGCCCTCCTCTGTTTTTGAGCAATGGAAAAATTCTAAATTGTACTATAAAACAACAAAGGAAAGAGTGGCCATGTCAGAAATACTAAGAAAGCTTTGAAAAATGCCTATGCTATTCTGATTCCGTGAGTCTGTAGTGGAAAATCTACATTTTGTAAATATCCCAGGGTAGATCCTATTAGGAATAGCCATGGGAAACCAAAGATTTAAGATACAAAAAATACTTAAAATTTCTCAGTGATAGCTTGCCATTCTGTAAGTTCAGATACAGTAAAATCCTAACAAATTTTATAGCTAAGAGTAACTTAGCGATAAACTATAGTCCAAAACCATCATCTTGTAGGTAAATAAAACTGAAATAGTCAAGAAACTTTTCAGTTATTGTAATTTGCCCCAGAGCCAGCCTGAGAACGCTGATCTCCAAATCAAGCACTGTGATCTTGCTAAGGTGCATCTTATTGCACCTCTGGCCTTCCTACTATACTAAGCTCAGAGGAATGTGGATTCTGATATGCCATGCAACAAGTTATGTTCCCTAAAACATAAGTAAATATGTTAAGTCCAATGTAATACATTTAGTTTCTAATTATCCCAAGACATTCTATGGGTTTGGTGTCGTTCTCCAAACTGTCTAATATTTCTTGTTGTCAAAATGAACATATTAGTGAACCAGTAAAACCATGAAGTATACCTGCTATGTTGAATGTTCAAATAGAGCCTGTTTCTACATTTACCCAGAAGAGAAGATCTACGTGAACTATTGACAAATATACAGGGACTTAGTGGTAAAAATTCCAATTTACTGGAATTTTTTATTAAAGAGAAAAAAAACTTTTGGGTGAACTTTTATAAGCATGCGCTGGAGTTGGAGGAGATGTGGGAGAGTAGTAGGAGGGGAAAGCTGACAGGAGACTCAGTGAGAGCAATGAAGGACTCAAGGAGAAGCTCCATTAGTCAGTGTAGCAATGTATAAAAAAATACCCTAAAGTCATATTTTTCTAACTTTGCAATTAAATTTAAATTAAACAAAATTGTTATTTAGTGAAACATGAGAGCATGGCATGATTTTTTTCTCAGCCATGTATGTACTTAATTTTTTTAAGAAAGTATTTCAAGCAACATGGACTCCAAACCTATTAAGGCATTTATGTTTCACTTCAGAAAAATATCATCATATCCAAAACTTTATTTTTATTGTCACCTAGGTAGTTATTTTGGTGCTATATACAATTTTATGTTTTTCAGGCATAATATGTAAATTAGGATATGTTGCTTGCAAGAGAATTTTTATGGTTATGTTAAATGTTCAATAGGCAGCAAAATGTTGTTACCTTGTATTATTTGAAGAATGAATTAATTGTGAAGACTAATGACATTCCTTTGGATTTAGCGAAACTGATTTATTTCTTTAAAAGAACTGTAGATTTCTTCAACATGATCTGACTGTTGATTGCAAGGGACATTTATATAAATATCTAAATTGAAAAGATTTGATGCCATCAAGCAATTCAATCATTCAATGATGTTACAATTCTTTTGCCAAACTAAGATAGAAATATCAAAAATGAGGGACAGACAGGAATATTATAAATTTCCACATTTTTATTAGGAAGTGCAGTACAAAATTTTCCCCAGTAGAAATGTGTGTGGAATGTATATATGAATGAAAAACAATTTAGGTTTCCACTAAAAACACGTGATGATAATTTGAGTCTTTGAACACTGGAAATATCTACTTAAGAGTTTCCTCTCTCTTCTTTCGTCCTTCCAGGTATTGTTTTTTCATCATCCCATTCCACATGGTCAGTGTAGCACCAGCCAGTGTGTGGCCACAGATAATGGTGGTGGGGAAGGCAGCATGTGGAAAAGATGCATTTTTTAAAGTTATATTCTCATTTCATTAATATTGAATTTTCTACTTTACTATAGGTTTCAAATAACCACTTGAGTATATTTAATGTGGTTTTTCTTTTACCATTTAAAGCAACAATGATCTCTCTTAGTAATGTGCTGGAATATTATTAGTGCTTTGCAATTTTATGCATTGAATTTCATCATTTGTTTTCCACCAAACAACCAAAATTCAGGCCTGTGGTGCTGAATGTAAATGACAGTCCTAGGACATTTTGACAGAAAGTGTAACATGACATGCAGACTTTCACTTCCACCTCTGAGAGGTGGTGTCACATTAGGCTTTCTTTCCTTAAAGGGGGTCACTGTCATCTCACATATATCAGGAGAGCTACAATTCAAAAAATTCTTACTAAAAAAGAAATTAATTTTAACAGAAGTCTTGTTAGATTAAAAGTTTAGCATATCTTCTTTTAGTAAACAGAGGAAGTCTTAAAAGTATTTAATATCCAGTCAAAGAGCGTCAAACAGAGCGATAACATCATGCACACTTAAATGATAAAATTCACAAATACATAGAAATTGAACAACATATTCTTGAAAATCCAATAGGTCAAAGAAGAAATTAAAAGGAAATTAGAAAATATCTTTAGACAAATGAAAATGAAAACACAACATACCAAAACTTACGGAATGCAGCAAAAGAAGTTCTAAGAGAGAAGTTCATAGCAATAAATATCTACGTTAAAAAAGAAGATGAAAGATTTCAAATAAACAGCCTAACTTCATACTCCAAGGAGCTAGAGAAAAAAAGAACAAACTAAGCCCAAAGTTAGAAGGAAGGAAATAATAAAGATTAGTGCAGATTTAAACAAAATAGAGAATAGAAAAATCAACAAAACCGAGTTGTCTTTTGAAAAAATAGACAAAAATGACAAAACTTTGGTTAGATTAAAAAAAAAAGAGTGAAGAGCCAAATAAATAAAATCAGAGTTGAAAGAGGAGACATTATAACTGGTGCTACAGAAATAAAAAAAGGATCATAAAAGACTACTACGAATGTTTATATGCCAACAAATTGGACAACCTAGAAAATCTGAATAAATATCTAGAACATATGATAGCCAAGACTGAATCATGAAGAAACAGGAAATTTGAACAGACTAATAACAAGTAAGAACATAATCGAAAACCTCTTAACAAAGAAAGTCCAGGACCAGAAGGCTTCATGGTGAATTCTACCAAACATTTGAAGAAGAATTATTGACAACTCTTTTCCTGAAGAATTGTCTAAATAAAAATTATACCAGTAATAGTAGCACTTTTACTCTACGTAGCAACTGACAGTCTAACACTTTTCCGGTTGTGCCCATCAGGCCAAAATGCCAAGTTGATAGAATGAATGGAAAGGGGTTACGTTTTGGAAAGAAAAGTAGTTGAGACTGCCAGAATTTTCTCTTAATAATTGGCTTTCCAAAATTAATGTATCCAAGTACTGTGAATTTTATTTCCTTCATCCAAAAAGTTAATGTACAGCAGTAATATATGTGCAACTATATGTATGTAAAATATATGGATAATTATAAATGTAAAGCCCCAATATTCCTTCCTTGGTATTCTCTCCATTTAAGCCCTCAAGAGGATGACTCACTTTCACTCTGCATGTTCATTTTTCTTGTCACTCCAAGCCACATTATGCAAATATTCTAATGTGCTTCTCTCCTTCAGGGGAAATTTTTTAAAATGTCATAGTATTTTATTTATTAAATAAATAATTAGTTTAAGTAAATTTAAATAAAATTGTTATTTTATTTTTCTTGTTCCATTTTTAAAAAGATTTAAATGTTTAAATCTTTAAATTTAAAAAGTTTTTCATATAAGGTCATCTATTATTTTTATATATTTAACCAGTTGGAGGATGAGCCATACCTATGACCTCTGACCTTTTATTCACGTAATTGATTATTCTCACTTCAAGTTAAAGAAAATGAATTCTGGTGCTCAGAAACATAAGTAGGAAAAGGTGACTCTCTCGATAAGGGAAAAAAACAAAGAATGTCTGCTTATTTACCTTGGCAAGTGATTTTTGCACAACTTTTTGAACCATTTGAATGCTGTAAAGTCAACTGGTTCATTACCTGAAATATATCCAACCAGCTCTCCTGCCATCTTCAAATAACATCACAGGACCTTGTTCTGACTGACTATTCTCTGTGTGACCTACAATATGTTCAGCCTCCTCCAATTATTTCTTACTTCTTTCAGTGCAGACTCTTCATGTTGGGAAGCTTCAGGGAAGGACAGAATAATGAGGCACACATAGCAAGGCATAAAAGAAAGATTAGATAAAGACAGAGTGACACTATCAGGAATGTGGGACATTGTATTTAGCATATACAAAAGACAAAGGATCACGAAAATGAAATGATGACAGAATGAGGCACAGAATATGTATGCATTTATTCTGTGCTGCAAAGAGAGAATGCCCTCTGGCTCATTTTGTGTTTTTACTGTCCACTCAGCAAACTTTCTTTGTGAGCATCAAAGTCCTACGGGAATCTTGCCAAGGAAGGGTTGCAGAATCAGGACTTAGTCATAAAGCATTGAGTCATGCATTAGTGTTTGTATTGCGAACTACAGCTATTTTAAAACTATACCTATAGAAGCTTATAAAGCATAATTGCTTTTCTTGTTGACCTAAAGGGAATAAGAGGTGAGAGAGAGACAGACAGACACCGATATAAACACAAAGAGAGAACGAGTGTGAAATTACCAGATAATTATCTGAGGATAATGTACACCAATGTTGTGTATCTGGTGGGTCCATTCTAAATGACTTTTCCACCCATGTAAGGTTTTAGTTAATGGGACAGGGATTCCACTTTACATTTTGGTCTAAATCATCTAAAACTGAAACTTATAAATTTGATTTTCTTGGCATTTTGAAACCACATCTTAAATTGTTTTGTGTCAATAACAATTTTTTTCTAAAATATTTATTTATTTTATTTTTTTGGCTGCGTCAGGTCTTCGTTGCGGCACACGGGCTT